AGACCTCTAAGAAAGTCCCAAAACCAGCTGTTCAAGGCACATTGGAACAAAACTTCCAGGCTGTTACTAGTCACACGCCTGGACACAGTAGAGCTAGGTATAGTGCTTTACAGCAACAAGTGTCGTGTCTTTATCCAAAGCTCAGCGATCGTCCCTCAAAAACCTTGGATGCAGGATATGTTTCAGACATCTATGTTTCACATTGTAATAGTCCATCAAGTTTCTTTGTACAATTGACAAGTGATAAAGATGAAATATTTAACCTTCTCGACAAACTTAATTCTGCTCAGTTAAGTGATGCACAAATTGAACTAGATCTGTTGCGGTCAGGTGACCTGGTGGTAGCTGAATATCCTGCTAATGGGGCCTGGTATCATGCTGTTGTTCAAAACAAGAATAATGGCATGGTTCAAGTGCAGTTTATTGACTTTGGCAACAAGGAAACACTCTTGCCCCTTAAAATAAGGCAACTGGGCAAGCAGTTCCTCAGCACCCCCATGTTCGGTATTCATTGCACATTTGAAGATGGTAGAAGAGAAAAAAGAGATTGGACCCAGGAAGAGATAATGACTTTCAAAACAGCAGCAGGTGAAAATGGTGAGAAGAAAATTCAATGCAAGTTCGTCCGAGGGGACGTATCTGTTTGGATTGTCAGTTTAGATCTCGAGGAAGGGCCTTTGTTTAATGCTGCTCTCAAACCAGGTGCTCAAACCGAATCCCAAATGCACTGCAATGAAGATACCCAGCCATTAGCATTCAAGGAACCAGCTGTAACTCAAGGACAAATTGTGGACGCGTATGCTTCATCTATCGTTGGACCAAATTATTTCTGGTGCCAGTTCAAAAACTCTGAGGATCTTGACAAAATCTCCCTGCTTGCACAAGAAATCGGAAACTCTAGTCAAGTAAAACCAATTTAGCCAGATCAGTTATGCCACTGACCCTGCCTGGCACTCTTTTCTGACCAGCTGTGGCACCGTGCACAGGTTATCAATGCACATTCTAAAACAGTCTGTTCTTTTTATAGATTATGGAAATGAGTCTTAAATTGACCTGAACTTGGTTAAATTCCTGCCCACCAAGCTCCTGGAAAGCCCACCACAAGCATTTATTTGTCAGTTAGAAGCTTTGGGGTCCGTTGATGGCACTTGGAGCGATGCTGCAGCTGACAAATTCTTTGAGCTTCTGGTGGATGAACCTTTAAAAGTGACTATTCAGAATACAGTAATGACCTCTGACCTTCCAAACTGTCCTCAGTATAATGTACTTGTTGAATGTAATGGATTTATTGTTAATGATCTCATGAAAGATTATCGGTGTGATCCCAAATCTCAACTCTGTAGCGAAGTGACAATGGATGTTAAAACAAAACCCACTGCAGGGAAGGACAGTTTTGGAGTAACAAGCTCTGAAATGGTTCAGAAAGATAACATTCTCAACTCTGGAAAGATAAATGGCGGTGCATCAAATTATGTACACCCTGACCTTCACAGCTTTGACCCTCAGATTTCACAAAACAAATTAGCTGCAGCCGAGACCCAAGGGCAAAGCATTACATGCCCAACCTTGACCGCAGTAGTTGGAAACATGATGGTTCCTGAAATATCAGTGCAGTGTTTACCTCAAGCTGCATATCTTCCTCCACGTATGATAGAACCAGCTAAGGTGTCTGAAGTTTGTTTCGCACATCAACAGCCTGGCAAGTTTTTTTGTGCTACTGGTAGAAGATGAGAATACATTATTCTCCCTCACCGAGCTACTGAATTCCCATCAGCCATCAGAGAACGATGAAATTCATGCAACCAGTGTTCAACAGGGAAGTTTGGTGAAGGCCATGTTTCCTGAAGATGATTCCTGGTATCGTGCTCTTGTAAAGGACACTACCGAAGATGGCACGATCCAGGTAGAGTTAATAGATTTCGGAAATGAGGCAACTGTTTCTCTCCTTAAAATTTGATGAGCAGCTGTCTTACCCGAGGTTCAGCATTCACTGCAGCTGCAGTCTAGATGATCGATTCAAGGCGCAGAAGGGAAAGAAGGAGCAGATATTTCTCTTCAAAAAAATATTTGGTGAAGCTCGTGAGAACACGCTGTCTTGCAAGTTTATCAAAGAAGATGGCATCACTTGGGAAGTTAAAATGACTCCCTGTGGCATCACATCTGATTCAAGTGAGAAATTGGATAGTTTAGACTTGAATGCATCACCGGTAGTATCTGAACCTGTGAAGGAGACTTTCCAGCTGCTCTTCAAGAAACCAGATGTCTCTTTGGGACAGACAGTAGAAACCTTTGCATCATGCATTGCTGGACCAGATTACTTCTGGTGCCAGTTTTCGAACTCTGAAATACTTCCAAATCACCCTTGTTGCCCAAGAATATGGAAACTCTAGTGAAAGACAGCCAATTAAGCTGGATGATTTGGATCCTGGAAGCCCGTGCCTGGCTCGTTTCTGTGACGATCAGATGTGGTATCGTGCGCAGGTTATTGATAAATGCACAAACGCTGTATCTGTCCTTTTTGTTGACTTCGGAAACTAGTCTGAAACCAGTGAAGGCTCTGTTAAGGCACTGCCTTGTGACTTGCTGGAAAGTCCACAAGCTTTTCTGTGCAGGTTGGAAGGGTTTGATCCTTCCAAGGGATCTTGGGACAGTGCAGCTACTGATAACTTCTACGAGCTTTTAGTGGATAAACCTCTGAAACTGACTGTGCAGTGCATTGACAGTACAACTGATCCTAACAGCCCTCCATATTATGTTAAAGTTCACAAATCACAAAATGATCAGAATGATCAGGTGATTGAATCCTGTGAAACATTCATTACATCAACATCTGATCAACTTGTTTCAGAGGATAAAGCAAGTGCGAGCCTTGCAGTTTCTACAGAGGATATGCACACAATTGAATCTCATGGTGCAGAACAACATGGAGCTAATCCGATTGCACCATTAGAAGTAAAAGGTGACTTGCATGGTGTACCTGAAAACAAGGTGGATGATCAGCTTGATGGAGCAGATGTGATTGCTGCTGTAACAAATTCTGATGTCACTGCTGATGATCCTACAGGGATTCATTCCCCAGATTCAGAAATCCATGAAGTCTGCCATGAATCTGATGATGGAGTTCCTGTTGTATCAGCTGAGCAAATGCTAAAGATGTAGAAGATGGAGGATCTGAAAAAGGTTTGTATGCGTTTCTGTACCTGATTATTCTTCATATGGGATAAAATTATTTATTTTTAAGACTTGATAATTAGTCACAGGCGTATTTTGCTTGCTTTACCATGCTTATTTATGTTTCAGAGGACAACCCGACGATGACAAGCAGAAGTACAGATTGGGTAGCTGGTTTAGAAAATCCAATGTTACCCATGGTATTTGCTTTGTTTTTGATTTTTTCTTTGGTATGTGGGTTTCTAATGAGTAATCTTTTTTTAAATGAATAACTATTTCTTTATTTTGTAGGTTTGCACTGAAGATTCGTGTGACTCTGTTAAGTGCATCTTCAAATGAACAGAATTTTAAACTTTATTTATTGTGAAAAGGTATAATTTGTTTTTCATGGGGAAAATGAATTTAAACGGACAAATATTTGTTTCAAACAGACTCCGCCTTTGAAAGATTAGAGATTTGATTTGCCGTGTTGCTTGTTACGTTTCTTGTCATTTTAAAAGCTTGTCTGATTGCATTGTTTGGTTTTGTTGATACCCCAGTTTATCTTTGTAGATGCCAAGGTAATATTTGTAATCATTCTTTTTTTTTACTGTTTATACACAAGTAATTGTAAATTGAAATGATGATTGTTCAGAAAGTACAAGCGTTTCATACCACAGTCCTGCTCTTCCTTCACCCCGAAGTCTGTAGTGGAGTTTTTTCTCCTTATTTTGCAATAGCGTGTAGTCATTTTTCTTTATCTTATAACGAGTAATCGTTTGTTGGAATAAAACCTGTTCATAGAATTGAATTTGTGTTGATTTAAACATTTTAAAGGTGGAAAATTGTTATAGATACACTCTAAAAAATGCTGGGTTGTTTCAACCCAACTTTGGGTCAAATATGGACTAACCCAACTTTTGGGTTAAAAATTTTATGTAAAAATTTAACCCAATGGTTGGGTTAGTCCATATTTGACCCAAAGTTGGGTTGAAACAACCCAGCATTTTTTAGAGTGTAGAAAGTTATCACACTTTTTTTCCCTAACACTGCCATTTTTAAACTGCTAAAAAATTACTTTTTATATGTGTACTTGACACAATTTAGTATTCCTAATACACGGTGTTTGCTCTAATGCATAAGTGTTTTCTATTGCCGTAATGTGCTGGGTTTCAATGAATGCGCCACAGTAAGTAGGCTAAATCTGCAATCATGACACTCGAAAATAAATGTACAGTAAACTACGTAAGCGAATCTCCTGAATATATATGCGTGTCTTCAGAATTTCTATAATCGACGTCCCTATTGTTTCTCATTTCTTAGTATCACCGGTAGAGGCTATGCTTGTCGTTTCGCATGAGGCCTACAGTGCAAAGCTCTTTCTCAAGGGGGCGCACAGCGGCTCAAAATCCTTCGACCTAGCTGCGTTCAGATCTAATGGCCGTTTTATTTTTTATCCGAACTAAACCATTTGTACATTACAATGCATACAAATATATATAAATTCAGTGGAGTGGTACCTGACACGCAAATGTGAATCCGCCCAAACAATCTATCTTAACTTCCTTAATTGTCACATGTGATTGGTCCATGATGAACTACGCTGAGAAAAGTAACTGGTATCACGTGACAACGCCGTGTGTATGCTGCTACAGAGTTATTCTGTACAGTAATGTAGCGCGAAATCAAAATAGACATTAAATTGAAAATATATAGTGATATTTGTTTAATAGAATAATAATTATTTAGATGTTTATTTAAAACCTTTAGTTTTTTTTCAATGGGTAAAGCCCGCTGTCGAGTTGCTGTGGTAACAAGTCAAGCGAGAAAAGCAACACAGAAAAAAAAAGATGACAGAGTTGCATCAGGCAGCAGCTTCTGGAGATTATGATCTAGTGGAAGAAATTGTGGGGAAAAAATCGTGTGACCCTAATCAGAAAGACTTAGACTGGAACAAGAAGACCCCGTTGCACTGGGCAGCATCCAAAGGCAGGTTATAGCCTACTTTAGGGACCAAAAAGTGCTGTTTTATTCAAAATGTATAAAAAAACAATCATTATTATAACTTAATTATCTTTTACAAATGACATGAATATGGTAAAAATGTGACCTGGATATTAACTTCCATAGTGCTCTATTTTCATGCACTAATTTTGTACTTAATATGCTAAAAATATACTTTAGTACTTCTTAATCTTAAGAACATCTAAGTGTACTAAAATGTGCTATTTTGAGACACCGTGAACTAAAATGTGCTTTTAACATACTATCTCTGTATTTAAACAAAATGTATTTAGATACCACTTGAAGTAGACTTGAACCCATCTTTCATACACTAGTGGGTTCAAGTGTACTACAAGTGGTAAGTAAATACATTTTAATACTAAGGTAGTATGTTAAAAGCACATTTTAGTTCATATTGACGGTGTCTCAAAATAGCACATTTTAGTACACTTAGACGTTCTTAAGAAGTACTAAAGAATAACTTTTAGTATATTAAGTACAAAATTAGTGCATGAAAATAGAGCACTTTAAGTACATTATGGAAGTGCACTTTTTTCCGCCTGGGGTTCTCGCATGTGTGATGCTAATGACATTTAACCTCTGATCTTGTTTAAGGCCAAACAGAGATGGTTCGGATATTAATTGAAAATGGAGCCAGGGCTTGTTTGAGGACGGATAATGGATGGACACCCGCACATTTTGCAGCAGAGTCTGGAAAACTAGCAGTACTTCGACTCCTTCATTCCCTACATGCACCTGTAGACAAGGAGGATTCCTCCGGCGATAAACCTGTCAGGATTGCTGAAATCTATGGACATGAAGATTGTGTTCTTTTTCTTAAAAAGTAAGATGAATCTATTGTTGAAATAATCAGTTCTTACTGATTGAGGCATTTTCTGATGCTGTTTAGTCAAAGAAGTGGCGATGTGATCCAAGATGTTCAATGACAGGGTGTTCTCTACTTTCAGGGCAGAGGTTGAGAGCAGAAACTACCGGCAAATGGCAAAGTTAAATGGGCTGCCCTTAGACGATACTGATGAAGAATGGGAACAGGAGAAAAAAGAAGCCAATAAACAAGTCCTTAAAAAGTAGGTTTAATCCAGCCATGAGAACAAAATACAAACTAATGGATGCTTATATTTTTGTTGCACATCTAAATGAAATGAAAGACATAGTAAAGATAGTAAAATATAAAAGAAAGCTTGGTGGACAGTAAAATTACAAGCCAAAATTAATATTCATGTATGACTGTCACCAGTTACGAGTAATACCAAGTAGGCTATATATAGACATACAAGCATAAATATATTTACATGAATATACATAAAACTCAATAAAAATTAAAGGGGTCATATGAAGCGATTTCAAGTTTTCCTTTCTCTTTGGAGTGTTACAAGCTGATCGTGCATAGATAAGATCCCTGAAGTGGCAAAGACTAAAGTCACAAACCCAAAGAGATATTCTTTATCAAAGTTAAGACTCTGCCACGCCCCCCTAAAACGGCTCGTTCTAACACGCCCCCACATATCTACCTCCCTATGTGGGAATATTTGCATAATGCGCCCAAATGTGCATGCAAAGAAAGAAGGCGTGGTTTCAGTAACCGCAGTTAGTGTTGAAGCAGCATGTCAGGAAGACGCTGTGTGTTTCTAGGCGAAAGCAAAAGCACTTTATTTGGCCTTCCAAAAGTAGATGCATTTAGGAATCTTTAAGATTACTTACAACAGAACAGCAATGCATTTTATGGACGACCGTTTCGTGAACCTAGGAGAGGAGGTAATTCTGACTTTGCTATGACAATCTGGCGCTTCTGAATCAGCTAATGTTTTGTTATTAGTTTAAGTATTTGCTATTGACTGTTCAAATGCGGAGTTTTGCGCATCGTGTGTGTGTGTGTGTGTGCGCGCGTGTGTGAGAGAGAGAGAGAGACAGCGTTAGATCATTACTGTGTCTGTTCCCCTTTGGGGCTTGAACTGATGGTAAAACTAATTACATTATTTACTGTCTTTGCATTTAGTTTGAAAGATGAAGCTCACGATTATGGTAAGGTGCGTTACATTTCCGACGAGTGCTTGCGGTGTTCGGCCAATCACAATGCACTGGGTCAGCTGGCCAATCAGAGCAGACTGCGCTTGTCGGAAGGAGGGATAGCGTTTGAGAGAGGCGGGGCATAGAGGACCTACAATATTGTACAGTATTTGAAAAATAATGTGTTTTTTTAACATTAAAGCATGTCAACATATTCTGTTACACCAAATACACAAAATAATGATCTTTAAAAAAACAACATATGACCCCTTTAACTCGTTCACTAAATGACATGCCAAAAGTCATATTTCTATATGGCTTTTACCAGTTTTAAGTAATACCAAGTAGGCTATAGACATACAAGCATGATTATACTTACATGAATATGCACAAAACTGAATAAACCATTTTCAGATAGAAAAATTAACAAATTTTCTAAATTATATGCCAAAATTCATATTCATCTATAACTTGCACTAGTTTTGAGTAACACCATAGGCTATAAACATGCAAGCATAATTATACTTATAAGTATATACAAAACAGAATAAACCATTTTCAGAAAGAAAGAAAAAATTACCCAGTCACCCTGGCAGAAATCTAAAAACAAAACCATAATATGACTAAGATGACTACATTTAAATATATTTGTATCGTCTGAGCTAAGATATCACAAATAATTGTACAGTTTACTAGAAAACAATGTTTTAGAGCTGTTGAATGTGACAATTTAATCCATGACGTTTTTCAAGGTTCCCTCGAGTTTCATGTCTTCTATTTCAGTACTTTTAGAAGGCACCGACTAAATGATTCAAATGCGGATTTGGAATAAAAACAACATTAGAACAAAATATGTAGACACTAAATAAAATATTCTCAAGAGCACAAATGCAACTTACTTTTAATCTGTCCAGTCTTTATTTCGTCATTACTGAAGATGTCTCTTTGCTTGAGCTTTCACTTTTAGAATGCGCTGATTGCTAATGTAAGAAAATGTGGGAACACGAGCTGTGTTATTTCATGTGTTCGTGATGCATTTGGAATCTGTAAAAGCATGCATTTCTCTCGTACATACTAACCTTGGATTGCAAACGCTTCAGAAGTGCATCACAAACCTTTGGGGAAAATGAAATATGATTATATTGAGCTTGACTGTAAAGTTTTTACAAACTAAAACCATCGCAAATGTGATCAGTTCTAATCAACTGATGCAAATAAATGTTTCAGTCTAAATTCCTTAAACAGTTATGATCAATCATACGGAGGGCACGTGTATAGCGGGCATGGGTACCTTTTTCTCTCCCAAGCAGTTTGTCAGCAGTATCAAAAAGCCCTGCAATGAAATACAAGAAAATATTTTAATGTAAATGCACGAATAAACAGATAAAGTGTTTGATGCTTGACCCTTACCTGCAGCGAATTGAACAATGTAAATGCGTAGCTCACAATTTGGGCGAAAGGTTTTTGTGTAAGATCAAGGTGCAGCACCAAAACCCCGAGGAGCCAAGTTATTCCGAGGACAGGGCTTAAGAAAACTACTGTCTTAACCATACCCTTGGCAACGTCCTTGTGGTCCTGCGCCTTTGAATCCGACACAGCAGGAGTTACTATCCTCATGATCACCACAACCAGTGTGAAAAAGTTTACCATCACAATAGTTAAGGCAGGAATTACAAAGGAAAAGAGGGAGCCCTTCAGCACACCCTGATATATGAGCCAGCAAGTGTCTGTGGAATAGTATTTACCTTCTTTACCGTTCTCGAAAGTAATGTAGGTTGTTGCCACACATATTAAAGGGCACACGTAACCAACAGTGATAGACAATACCAAAAAAACCTTTTTCCTCAGCTGGTCAAAGACAAATATCATTTGGTGAAGAAGCACGACACTTAAGCACAGCATCCAGAAGAAGACAGCGAGGAAAAAAAAATGTTTGGCTACTGTAAGGATGGAGCACCAGTGTTCGGGGATTGCCTTCGGATCAGATGATGCTAAAAATCCACAGTGTGCAAACAGCAAGCATAAAGAGATGTTGACTAAGGCCGTGTGCCGAAAATTGGAGATGTCTGACTTTACAACTGCATCCCATACCAAAAACTCAATGATTAAACACAGAACAAGTGAGACGACGGATATTCCTAAGCCAACGTAGGTCAGTTCCTTCATATACGGAAGGGTCTCTGCATTTTTGGACATCATTACAGTGAAGGCAGAGTTGTGTGTACATGTGCACAACTTTTGATTTTCTGCACCACCCCATTTACACCCCTCTGAAGACCAAGTACTGTTCTTTTCATCCCAGAAAACACAATACATTTCATGATTCCGAAGTCTTTTTTCACCGTAATCGAACGTCATCTGGACAGAGATGGACTTCTTCTCATTATTTACTGTGGTGACTGACAAGATGGTGGTCTCTAAGGGCCTTTTTTCATACTGTGGTAAAATTTCGTGAAGGTTCCGGAATGCAACGACAACAACCCTATCATCTGGGCTGACGCTGGCATTAAAGTTGCTGCAATGTGCCCCTCCGGTCTTATTACAGACTGCCAGTTTAACATTATAAGAATTTTGAGGATGATTCATGGTCAGATTTGAGTTGAGTATCATTTGCTCAATAGTCTGTAGATATGTCACAGATAAATTTGTGTTTTTAGTTTCAGGATTGTTCCAGGCTCCTGTTTTATTCAAAGCGTTGCTTATAGCGCTGACAAAGTCCTGCAATGTAAAGTGAAATGCGATTAGACTTTGAGCAAACACAGGAATTTTGTATTATTTGTCATTTCATGTTGTTTCAAATTCTTTGGAGTTCATTTTTGACATTTGCAATAGATCTCAAAAAATAGCCCTGTTTCCAAAACAAATATTACTGAAGATTTTAAAGATGTTAAACAAAGAAACTGAAGAGAAAACATACATACTGGCATGACAGTATCATTCCATTGATTGAACTGCTGTTTAGATACATTGTTCATGGCTTCAAAAATAACTACAGATGCGTTAATATTTGCAAATGAGTTGAATGTCTCCACAGTGGTCGAATGCTGTATTCGTCTGAAAAGTCTGTCTGCCTCATTCTTAATAAGGCCAATGCCTTTATTTAATATCTGTTATTATGACAGCAAAAAAACAAGGATTTAGTGCTAAGAGTAAATCTGTCCAGCAATAACGTCAGTAAATGAATACCAAAGAATGATACCTCTATATCCTTTTTAATGCCATGCAGGTCTATATTCACACAAGTAGAGATTTCGTCTTTCCACCCTTCATAGCACTTTTTCATTTTTGAACCAACAGCAGAGTTCCCACAGGATATAATGGCCGTATAGGTGTTTTTCGTGATGGGCCACTCGTTATCTTCTTCACAGAATTGTGAATGGGCTGTATTAAGGAATAATACACAGTATTATAGATTTGTTTTTCTCATCATTTTTGTTTTTATAATTACAATTCAAAAAATCAAGCGTAGCGTTAGTTCTGGCAGGTCACGTTAGTCAAGCTCGCATCAGCTGACTCTCAGCTGATCCTCATCTACCTATAGGAATACAACACCTATCTAAGCATTCATATATAAGGTCCCTCAGTATTATCAGCAGTTTTCGCATTGCTCAATAGCTAATTACCCTCCTCCATCCCCAACTCCTCCTCTGTCAGTCAGGATTCAGCCTTCTGATTATCCTTTGAATCAGACTAATACTGATGCGCAGGGAGTTCTTGCCCAGAACAGAACCATACCGCCAATCCAAACTGTATGCTAATTGTCAATCATCTTTGACGATAGTGGTCCTGACAGAAAAATAGTTGCTAGTTTTTAGTAAGTATAATATGCATCTGTTTGGAAGAAACAAAGTAATTCAGCTATTCACCCTCATCCAAAAACATTTCTTCACTCTCCCCCTTTACTCACTATCATGCCATTCCAAACCTCTTTGACTTTCTTCATTATAAATGAAAGTAAAAGTGTACTGTTGAGTTTTAAAAAGAAAAAAGCACCACAAAAGTCATTCCAAATCATAAAATAGCATCATTATTCATTTTTCATCTTCCACTGCAGCTCTCAAAAGTAATTTTTTTAGTCTGCGTTTTTGCATTCCAATTAAGAGCTTCGACAGAAAGGAAGACTGTGTCACGAATTCGGTTCATGGACTTCCGTTTATTCACCACCAGATGTCACACTTTCCATTACATTGACTCTCGTACTACACAAACTGTTGCATAGCACCCCGGACTACATTTCCCATCATTCTTTGCACAATTTGCACACTGCCCTGATTGCACTCATTGCACACAGCTGTTTCTAATTACCTCTTTCACTATATAACACCCACTCTAACCACCTTTCTTGGCTGAGTATTGTTTAGCCTGTACCCCTTTCCGAGTCTCCGTGTTTTCCTTGTTTTGCCTTGCCTGTTTCTGTGGTATCTGATCTTTGCCTTTTTTCCTGTTTTTTTCCCTCTCGTCTCGCCCCTGTGATTCTGTCTGCCGATCGGTGACCTACGCTAGCCCTAGGACTATTCTTGTGTTTTGCCCGCCATATACCTGTTTGCCATTGTTTGACCCTGCCTGTTTACCACGTCTCTCTAATAAAAGCTTGCAGATGGATCCACACGTCTCATGTCTCGTCAGCCCCATTACAGACTGGCAGTAAATAATTACTTTGTGATATCATATGGATTCAGAAGAGTCATTTGAGCCACATTTTTCTTCTGAAAAGTGCATGTCTTTCACAATTTTTCAAAGACAAAAAGTTAAAACAACACCAAAACTTACGAAGAATGACCGGGATCTCCACATTTTTGGTTTTATTTTTGTTGTAAATGGCTCTGTTGTTGGTGAATGTACATGAAACATTCAGTGTCTCATTCTTATCCCTAATATATAATTCACAATTTATGATCGCCTCTGCTTTGTAAGATAAAAGATTCCCCTGGATTTCTAGAGAATGCAGGGATATGAAAATGTTTATCACAAAGTATGTAAAAATAATAAATAAATATTTATCTTTCAATCACATTGTTAGCACTGAGAGAGCAAAAGTGGTAATGAGATGCTTACCTGGTCCTATTTCTGTGAAACTAAGAGCAGTATTCCATGTAACCGTGTAATTTTCTGTATTGTTTGAAATTTTACATTCAATGATAGCCTTTTTGAATAGGTTATTTCTACAATTAGGAAATTGGGGAGAGCTCATGGCCTGTATTTCTGGCAGAAGTGCTATGTCCAACTCTGTACTTGCTGTGTGTTTTATGGGCCCTTTTGTGTACACACACTGAATTGTTCCTATAGATAGATAGATAGAAATGACACACATCACACTTAAGCTGAAATTAACAAACTCCTATTCAATTATTTAAATATTTAAAAATGAGTAAATATACTTTCAAAGTCATGCAGTTATCCTAATTGTGTATGTATGCAGAAACGTACCTTTCCAGCTTCCTGAAATATTTTTCAGATGGACAATGTCCTCCAAACTGTTGTTTGCGAAGCTGGCCTCTTGTCCTTTTGTGATCTCTGTTTTTTTATTCCACTCATCTATTAAGTACCACTTCACCTCTCCCAGCATTTCTTGTGGACGACAAGTTATAGTTGCCAGGGAGTCGATATCAATCGGACCCCGAGGACCATCAATAATGATGAAGCCTTTGGAGAAAATAACAAGTTGTGATTGTGCAATAAACCTCTCTTTATTGCATACCATTATAAGTATTGTAAATAATAATAAAAAAAAAAAGTTAAAGGTATAGTTCACCCAATGAATGAATACTGACTAAGTTACCTGTTGTTTTCAGATCAGAATCAGGCAGATTGCTGGTTACGTTCTCCAACTCATTAAGCGTAACTGAACCCATTACCTGCACCGTATAATTTACGATCACACTGCCACTGCTTTAAATCAAATGGGAAACGTTACTACATTTCCTGCCATTTTTATGTGTTTTATGTGTGTAGAAAGAACAGTAAACAGTAGCTGCCAGAGCTGCTTGTTATCATGATTACCTGTAACTGTTGATAATCAGAGAATCGAAATATTTCAATGTGCTGTATTTTTCCGCAAGCTAAAAGAAATCGAAATATGCCGGTGAGGTATATATATATATATATATATACAAACAGTGCAAATAGTTGTAATAAAGTTAATCAAACCAACAATACAGTGACAGTTTTTAGGCATTGCAGGGTGACAATATGGTGCCTGTATATTTTACAGTTCATATAATGTATTTCCTTTTTGCCTACAGGAGGCAAAAGGAAATGATGACAACAAATTCGAAGTTGTTCTTGGCTAGTATGGCTGGGGGACTAAACACAATAATGCAGTAATGAATTAATTAAACAACATATAATGTAAAACATAAAACTCCATGATAAAATAATATAATAAAAAACAATGTAAAAGCATAATCTTTAATACAATGTGTAGCACCCCGGACTACATTTCCCATCATTCTTTGCACAATTTGCACACTGCCCTGATTGCACTCATTGCACACAGCTGTTTCTAATTACCTCTTTCACTATATAACACCCACTCTAACCACCTTTCTAGGCTGAGTATTGTTTAGCCTGTACCCCTTTCCGAGTCTCCGTGTTTTCCTTGTTTTGCCTTGCCTGTTTCTGTGGTATCTGATCTTTGCCTGTTTTCCTGTTTTTTTCCCTCTCGTCTCGCCCCTGTGATTCTGTCTGCCGATCGGTGACCTACGCTAGCCCTAGGACTATTCTTGTGTTTTGCCCGCCATATACCTGTTTGCCATTGTTTGACCCTGCCTGTTTACCACGTCTCTCTAATAAAAGCTTGCAGATGGATCCACACGTCTCATGTCTCGTCAGCCCCGTTACAGACTGGCAGTAAATAATTACTTTGTGATATCGTATGGATTCAGAAGAGTCATTTGAGCCACATTTTTCTTCTGAAAAGTGCATGTCTTTCACAATTTTTCAAAGACAAAAAGTTAAAACAACACCAAAACTTACGAAGAATGACCGGGATCTCCACATTTTTGGTTTTATTTTTGTTGTAAATGGCTCTGTTGTTGGTGAATGTACATGAAACATTCAGTGTCTCATTCTTATCCCTAATATATAATTCACAATTTATGATCGCCTCTGCTTTGTAAGATAAAAGATTCCCCTGGATTTCTAGAGAATGCAGGGATATGAAAATGTTTATCACAAAGTATGTAAAAATAATAAATAAATATTTATCTTTCAATCACATTGTTAGCACTGAGAGAGCAAAAGTGGTAATGAGATGCTTACCTGGTCCTATTTCTGTGAAACTAAGAGCAGTATTCCATGTAACCGTGTAATTTTCTGTATTGTTTGAAATTTTACATTCAATGATAGCCTTTTTGAATAGGTTATTTCTACAATTAGGAAATTGGGGAGAGCTCATGGCCTGTATTTCTGGCAGAAGTGCTATGTCCAACTCTGTACTTGCTGTGTGTTTTATGGGCCCTTTTGTGTACACACACTGAATTGTTCCTATAGATAGATAGATAGAAATGACACACATCACACTTAAGCTGAAATTAACAAACTCCTATTCAATTATTTAAATATTTAAAAATGAGTAAATATACTTTCAAAGTCATGCAGTTATCCTAATTGTGTATGTATGCAGAAACGTACCTTTCCAGCTTCCTGAAATATTTTTCAGATGGACAATGTCCTCCAAACTGTTGTTTGCGAAGCTGGCCTCTTGTCCTTTTGTGATCTCTGTTTTTTTATTCCACTCATCTATTAAGTACCACTTAACCTCTCCCAGCATTTCTTGTGGACGACAAGTTATAGTTGCCAGGGAGTCGATATCAATCGGACCCCGAGGACCATCAATAATGATGAAGCCTTTGGAGAAAATAACAAGTTGTGATTGTGCAATAAACCTCTCTTTATTGCATACCATTATAAGTATTGTAAATAATAATAAAAAAAAAAAGTTAAAGGTATAGTTCACCCAATGAATGAATACTGACTAAGTTACCTGTTGTTTTCAGATCAGAATCAGGCAGATTGCTGGTTACGTTCTCCAACTCATTAAGCGTAACTGAACCCATTACCTGCACCGTATAATTTACGATCACACTGCCACTGCTTTAAATCAAATGGGAAACGTTACTACATTTCCTGCCATTTTTCTGTGTTTTATGTGTGTAGAAAGAACAGTAAACAGTAGCTGCCAGAGCTGCTTGTTATCATGATTACCTGTAACTGTTGATAATCAGAGAATCGAAATATTTCAATGTGCTGTATTTTTCCGCAAGCTAAAAGAAATCGAAATATGCCGGTGAGGTATATATATATATATATATATACAAACAGTGCAAATAGTTGTAATAAAGTTAATCAAACCAACAATACAGTGACAGTTTTTAGGCATTGCAGGGTGACAATATGGTGCCTGTATATTTTACAGTTCATATAATGTATTTCCTTTTTGCCTACAGGAGGCAAAAGGAAATGATGACAACAAATTCGAAGTTGTTCTTGGCTAGTATGGCTGGGGGACTAAACACAATAATCCAGTAATTAATTAATTAAACAACATATAATGTAAAACATAAAACGCCATGATAAAATAATATAATAAAAAACAATGTAAAAGCATAATCTTTAATACAATGTGATGAGTCATGTAAATGTAATCAATGAACTTTCAAAATGATTTTAGGAAAAACATTTTTTTTTGCACTGTTGTGTTGATTTTCAGCAGTACATACCATTTTGGTAATTTTCTTGTTGTCGTCCTGGTAATCTTTAGAACCTTGTTTGCTTGGATCACATAAAAACATGCAAGACTCATTTGCAAATGTAGTCTGCCCATTGATGCTTACTGGAAAAAATAAGAATCGTAGCATTCAATGACTGGCATTTATTTATGGATTTACAGTATGTGTTTATTTTTCATCAAGAAATCCGGTGCCCACATCAAACAATACTCTATACCTCTTGTTTTAGGCAGACACACAGCCATGTCATTAACTTTCTGTGTGTATATTTTACAGTTCATATAATGTATTTCCTTTTTGCCTACAGGAGGCAAAAGGAAATGATGACAACAAATTCGAAGTTGTTCTTGGCTAGTATGGCTGGGGGACTAAACACAATAATCCAGTAATTAATTAATTAAACAACATATAATGTAAAACATAAAACTCCATGATAAAATAATATAATAAAAAACAATGTAAAAGCATAATCTTTAATACAATGTGATGAGTCATGTAAATGTAATCAATGAACTTTCAAAATGATTTTAGGAAAAACATTTTTTTTTGCACTGTTGTGTTGATTTTCAGCAGTACATACCATTTTGGTAATTTTCTTGTTGTCGTCCTGGTAATCTTTAGAACCTTGTTTGCTTGGATCACATAAAAACATGCAAGACTCATTTGCAAATGTAGTCTGCCCATTGATGCTTACTGGAAAAAATAAGAATCGTAGCATTCAATGACTGGCATTTATTTATGGATTTACAGTATGTGTTTATTTTTCATCAAGAAATCCGGTGCCCACATCAAACAATACTCTATACCTCTTGTTTTAGGCAGACACACAGCCATGTCATTAACTTTCTGTGTGCAGGTGTCATTGCAGCAGCCATAATTTTTGCACATGTCCTCACTGTATGTGTAGTTCAACATGCATGAACAATTCTTATGCGTCTCATTCAGTGTGCAATCTGCAAACAAGCACATTATAGTTTTATTTTTTTGGGAACATCAGTTATTCAGAAATGTAGCAACTGCCCATAATTTCAATTTTTCTTAAATCTATATTTCATATGTTTGGGTCAGTTCCCTTATGCAGTACATTTTCATGTCCCCATCATATATTGGATAAATTATCATACCTTATAAATAAATCATATTAGCTTTCTTTAATATCAGCTAAACATGGGGTGAATTTAACTAAAAATTTTACTTAAAAACTAACAAATTGATTAAGAAACATTTGCTCTTTTTTTCTTCAATTGAAATCCTTCAACCTTCCAAATCCTTACTTCAATAAATCCTTCAAATCAATCCTTCAAAATGGGTATTCTTGGGAATATTATTTGAATCGGGAAGCAGTGTATCATTTTTAACTATCAAAATAATTTTCCATCATTTTAGATTTTATTTTTAACTAACAAAAGCCAGTTCCTTAATAACATCATCCTCCAGGAACTGACCTCATTCCATTCTGTTTGATTGAGTTACACAGCAGCACTGACAACAAGTTTCTGTGCTTCTGAATGCATCCTTAAAATTACAGCAAGCATATTCATTCTTAAACTATCTAATGCTCAACAGGGAAGCCCCAATTTATATTTTATTTGCATTCTTTGTACTCTAAAAAATAGGGTGTTAATATGAAGGAATTTTCAGTACTTGAATTACACTTTGCATTGTGTTGTGCTTTGGGTTAAAGGAATGTCCATAAAATTAACAAATGTTGTACTGGCAGAAAATGACCGATTTTTCTAATTGTTTTATTTTATTTTATTGTATTTTTTTTTAGTGTGAGAGAAGTTGAAGTGTAATTTCAAGCATTATATGTTTGTTTACCTGTTGTGATGCCGATGTTTGTTACAGATGCATGTACTATGTCGATGCGTGTCTGCTCTCTCAGAAGCTCAGTGATGTTGTCGTACACCGATGACTCGATTTCAAGCTCTAACCAGTACACCTGAGTGAAACTCTCTGAAATGTTGCATTGTGACAGTATTCAGTAACATGTAGATGATTAATGGAAAAATACACAGCAAAATCCCCAGAGTTAAATCAACTCTGCTCAGAGTACATATTGTCCCAATCAGTGTTAAAGTAACACTGAAGCCGAGTTAAAGTTAATGGGATAATTAAGCAATTAATTAATTGATGAATGAGCATTAGTAAAGAAAACCCGCTGTTAACAATGTTGAAGATGAACAACTACAGCTCAGGCTTTTAGACATGAAAACGTATCACATAATCCTCAACAGTGGTAACTCTGCTTCAGTGTTGCTTTAACACTAGATTGGGACAATGTGTACTCTGAGCAGAGTTGATTTAACTCTGGGGATTTTGCTGTGTACATATTATTTATTCCATAGATTATTATTGATAATGAGCAGAAATAAAATCTATATATACTACCTGCCACAGCAACCTATCAAACAAAAGTGTTAAAGAGTTAATGCTAAATGTAATAAATTCTGTGTATATAACTGAAGAACTTTTATAATGATTAAATATTATCCCACCTTAAAAAACAATCCCAGAAAAAGGAGAATGACACCCTTGGACAATTTCATTTTTGCGCCATCAATTTCTGGTGGATGAAACAGAGCGCAGTCATTCATATGATTATGTGCATATGCTTTCTATCAGTGACATCAATCATGCAATTTACATCTATTAATTTGCAACAAGTGATTCATCTTAAGGAGACATTAAACACGAGAAATGAATACAAAGATTTAAACTTTTTTCCAAAATAGTATAAGCTTACAGGGAGGGATATAATAAGTATTGAAAGCAAATAAGTATTTTTTTATTAATTTTTTTAATAATAAATTGACCACAACAATGTGTATTTATATACAATTCCGGTCAAAGGTTTAGAATATTGTTTTCTGCTCACCAAGGCTGCATTTATTTGGTCAGAAATACAGTAAAAATAGTAATATTGTAAAATATTTGTTGTAATTTAAAATAACTTTTCTATTTCAATATATTTTCAAATGTAATTTATTCCTGTGATGCAAAGCTGAATTTTCAGCATCATTACTCCAGTCTTCAGTGTCACATGATAGTTCAGAAATCATTCTAATAGGCTGATTTGCTGAGACACAATTATTATTATTATTATCAATGTTGAAAACAGTTTTGCTGCACTGTAAAAGATCAAAAGTTAAGAAAACGTAAAAGTTTAAGGCAGCCAGCTTCAGGACATTTGTGAGTTTTCTCAACTCCTTGTATTCAATTTATACAACAAAAAGTTGAGAAAACTCAAAAATCTCCTGAAACTGGTTGCCTTAAACTTGTAAGTTTTCTCAACTTTTGATTTTTTTTTACAGTGTGCTTCATATTTTTGTGGAAAAGGTCATACAGTATCATTCAAAAGTTTAGGGTAAGCATCAATTTAATGTTTCTTGCTGACTAAAACTATTAATTTCCTTTTCAAAAAATGATGTTAAAGATATTTACACTCTAAAAAATGCTGGGTTATAAAGGGACAAACCCAGCTATTGGGTTGTTTTGACCCAGCATTTTTTAGAGTGTATAATGTTACAAAAGATTTCAAATAAATGCAATTCATTAAATGTTCTATTCATCAAAGAAGCCTAAAAAGGTTTTATGGTTTATACAACATTTTCAGTACTGATAATAATAAGAACCATTATTAATAATCGGAAACCAGTAATAAATGATAATAATTGAGCATCAAATCCGCATATTAGAATGATTTCTGAAGGATCATGTGACACTGAAGACTGGAGTAATGATGCTGAAAATTCAGCTGCGCATCACAGGAATAAATTACATTTCAAAATTCCTTCAAGGATTGTTCTTTCTTTCTTTCTTTCTTTTTTTTTGCCTTACATCATGTCTTTGTAGCTATGTTGTATTGCTTTCTGTATGAAACGCACATGGAAACCCACTGAAACAAAACTTCCCCAAAGGGATAATAAAAGCTATACAATTAGAAAACAGTTATTTTAATTTGTAGTAATATTTCACAGAATTACTGTTTGTAATGTATTTGTGATCAAACCAATGCTTAAGATGTGCATAAGACACTTCTTAATTATTCCACACTTTTGACCAGTAGTGAACAATAGCCCATGTCACTGCTAACAAGCAAAAATAGAGCTTATATGAAGAACACTGTCTAGAATCCATTAAACGTGTCAACGTACCCCTCTGCCTTCTCAGTCCTGACAGCAGTATTGTTCCGTGGATTCAGGGCGCAATTTTATAGCTGTGATCACGTTCATAAAAAGCTTCAAGCGGCCGTACAGACCATGTGAGAGAATGGAATGATAACCCGCTCAAAGAATATTCCCAATAACCCTCCTGATTTGCATTATTTCGGTCACATGACTCAAAATATAGCCTACTGTAAATGATACCACAGTTCCACTTAAAAATATATTTTTCTAGCTAGAGTCCATACATCAAAAGAATTTTGATGTTTCATAAAAAGAACACCATAGTTAGGTTGTTGTTGTTGTTGTTTTTTTCATAAATACAGTACACTGGAAAAAAGGTGTAGGATTTACTTTTCTTTCACCAAAAAACCTAGTAAATCTCACAAATGATTGTGAAGAAGCAGCAAGTAACACGTTGAGGTAAACATGAAATTGTGTGTGTGTGTGTGTGTGTGTGTGTGTGTGTGTGTG